CTTGACAATATGCAGTAGCTCAGGATCCATCTTTGACCCATGTAATCCAAGGCTTGGACTTTTAAGTGAGGTCGGCAGTTTGAACCCACCAGCTGTTCTGTGGTAGAAAGATGAGGCTGTCTGCTCCCATAAAGATTTTGTCTTGGAAATTCTGAGCACCTCTTCTCTACCCTACAGGGTCTCCTGAGTCACAATTACTTGCATAGAGATGAGTTTGGAACTGGGCAGATATTCTGCCATCCTACTGGCTAATGCGCTGGACTGCAAAGCCAGTTAGAACCTCAAGGTCAGCGGTTCAAGTTCACCAGTTGCTCCTTGGAAACCCTATACAGAACTGACTCAACAGCACTTAACAACAACTGAGGTCTAATAGTGTCTGCCATATTGGATTCTGTTCTAGAAACAAAGAAGTTAAATGAACAAACTGTAGTCCAGAAAAGGGAGGGAAAGAGGGCGAGTCTAAGCAGACCATTGTCAATGTCATTACCCTCAATCCCTAAAATTTATTTTTTATTTTGCAATCTTGAGTGGCTCTGGTATTTGCTCTTCGTGTTCCTGCTTGGTCAGGAAAAGAAAACCAAAGTGAGGGGAGATTCACAGGAACACCCATACTTGCAGATAAGTACCCAGCTGACCTGGCTTCAGTGGCTGCATGATCAGAACTGGACTAGCAGAAGGGAAAATTAAAAAAAAAAAATGTTTTTTTGGATAAAACAAGTGTGCTTCACTACAATTTGATGAACTTGACCTATACTTACAGATTTAATACCAACCAAGAGGGAAGGAATCTTCACAGTAAGGATGATTCCCATCCCCTCTGTACACAGGGTTGATAGGAATGGGCAACTTAGACATTGGCTACCTAAAATGGGGGGTGGAGGGGGGAGGGGAATAAAGACACGCAGTGACTGGCTTACAGTTTTGAAGAGGGAGTTTAGTTTAAGAGGGTACAGAGGAAGGTAGAATCTCCACTGAGTGGTTTTCACCCTGTCTAGATGGGGCTGGTAAAATGAGATGGGGATAAGATTCTTACCTTATAACAATAGTAATTGTTATCATACCTGATTGTGATAGTAACAAAAAGAGGGGAGTGGTTGATCTTACAGTCCAGGAGCAGAGGACCCTGGGACCATGAAGGGAGAAGAGCAGGAGCAAAGAGTGGAACCCAATTCAGAGAAGTGGCGATGCCAGAGATGATGAAGTGGAGAGATGAAGCGGCTGGGGGGCTCTAGCCTCCTGGAGGCAAAGGGGCTGTGTGCTGATGGCCTGGGGGCAGGCTTGCAGGGTATGCCCTTTGGGTGTTTGAATGATTGTATATTCCTGAGTGTTTTGGCATACATCCAAAGAAAAAAACAGAGGTAATAGAAGCAAATATAGTTGAATGATGATGCATGAAGGGGATTGTAATCACTGCAATGAAACGAAATACGATAGGATGAGTACAAAACTGATGTTTTCCCATGTAAACTATCACTCATTTTACAACAAAACTTTAGGGGTAACAGCAGGGAGGCAAAAGAGGGAATCTAGCAAAGGAGGTCCAGGGAAGGCTTCTTAAGGAGGTGGTATTTAAGTTGAGACTTGAAAGACAAGCTACCAATCAGGCAGTATGGATTCTTGACAGAGGAATCAGCAAAGGCCCAGTGGTGGAAAGGTTGTGCTGGATGACTTGAAAGAAGGCCAGTGACTGTGGCACAGTGAACAAGAAGGATCATAGCATGAGTTTCTGTTTTGAGTGGTTAATAAATGCTAGACATTGCGCTTAGAACTTAAAATGGCTCTTAAATAATCACTATCAGAAACCACCTTTCCAAAATAGAAAAAAGAAAAGGATAGTAAAGGTTAAGAAATGTATTCAAGACACACTTAGCAGAGGGTGGAGGTTGGATTCAACTCAGTTCAGATTTGGGTGGGCTCCAATCTCCAACCTTTGGGTTAGCAGCCAAGTGGGGCAACCCCTTGCACTACCCAGGGATTCCTGGAATAAAAGAAAGACCAGTTAAGTAGTCAAGAGAGATGGTTACAGTTTGGACCACAAGTGGGCAGTTTCACAATATATTTTGGGGTCAGATCAAGTAAAATTTGTCAATGATTCAGACATGGGAAATAAGAGAAAAAGGAAAAGGTTAGGGTAAGTCAGGTTTCGGGCATCTAGTAATAGTAAATGGGTTATGGTGGATAATACTAAAACTGCCTAGGAAAATGCTAAGGATGGGTAGATTCATTTGATCATTCAACAAATTTTTTGAGCTTATATTATGTGAGGAGATAGCAGAGTACAACATAGATGAAAGTCCTACCCTCACAGAGCTTAGATCTTGGGGGCTGGGGGGATGCCAGTTAGACAAAAGTAAATCATTAGATGATGAGGACTATGGAGAACAATGTTGTTAAGTGCCGTGGAATCGATTCTGACTCATAGCGACCCTGTATAGGTTTTCTAAGGGGCAACTGGTGGGTTTGAACCAACAACTTTTTAGTTTAAACCAACCTTGCAGGTTAAGTTGCATAACCTATAGTGCCACACCAGAATTCCAGGAATGACAATAAAACAGGTTAAGTGGGAGAAGAAGTTACTATTTTAATTGAAAGAATCTAATGTGAAAGCAAAGGCTTTAAGGAAACAAAGAAACCTGGTGGTTGTGGTGGTGGTGGTTCCAACTCACTGTTACCCAGTGACCCTGCACAGGGTTTCTGTGGCTGTAAATCTTCACAGGAACAGAAAGCCTCATCTTTCCCCTGCGGGATAGCTGCTAGTTTCGAACCACTGACCTTGACGTTCACAGCTGGGGTCCTATCACTAGCACTATACTACCAGAGCTCTTTACAAAGGAGCTTGTCCCCTACGATTTCTCAGAAAAAGAGTTCAGTCTCAATAAACTGCAAAGGCCCTGGGGGGCAGGAACATTCTTGGTATATTTAAAGAATGGCAAGGTCAGGGCCAAGCAGCAGAGTCAACAAGAGAAAAGTAAGAGATTATTATTGTCCTTAAGTACCATTAAGATTAAGGAGGAAGATAGACAATTTAGGACTTTAGGTAACAAAGGGAAACTCCTGGCTGTAGGTAACCACACAATTAGAGCCCAAGGGTGAAATCAGAGATACACAATAATCCTCTGGTGGATCAGAGGCGATAAAGAAGAGTCTAATTTGGGATAGGTTTTGAAGAGCACATAAAATGTGTTGAAGGGATTAGATATGGTGGTGGTAAGAAAAAGAGAGAAATCAAAGATGACTGAAAGGGTTTTTTGATCTGAGCCACAAGAAAAATGAAGTTGCCTTTTACAAGGAGGGAATTGGCATGGGAAGAACAGATTAAAGGCAAAGTAGGAATTCCTTCTGTGATATAATGCCAGGTCGGTGGTTCAAGCTCACCAGCTGCTCCTCGGAAACCCTATACAGGGTTGTTACAGGTCGGCACCAACTCGCCGGCACTTCACAACACAACAACAAATTTACAAATTTGGAGTCCTGGTGTGGTGCCATAGGATAAGTACTCGACCTTAAGATCAGTTTGAACCACAAGGTAGGCAATAACAACAATGACAGGTTCAGAGATGTTGAGTAGACAGGTATTTTCTAGATATCAAGAAGTCTGGGTTAAAGATCTAAGCCTGGCACTGCAGCATGTTGTTGTTGTTAAATGTTTCTGAGTCAGTTCGAACATAGCAGACCTGTATAACGTTTCTAAGAAGAGCTGGTGAGTTTGAATTGCCAACCTTGCAATTCAAACCCACCCTGCAGGCCAGTACTTACTCCTATAGCATAGAGATGGTATTTATATAACGGGAATAAAGCTAGGAAAAAGTATAGAAAAGAGAAGGGAACCTAGAAATGACCCTTTGTTAAATTCTAATCACTCAAGCATTTCCATTTCATAAATAGTATTCTTACAATAAAAACTGTTCAATTTTTAACGCTGTTTCTTGTTACATTGGCAGTTCCTAAACTCGTCAAGTGCTCCAAGAGGACACATGAATGACCTAAAAAGATGATCAAATCTCAAAAGAGAAAGGAAGAACAAATTTCATCAGTGTTTACAGGAATAATAGGAACGCGAAACGTTTCCAAATAGAGAGGGCATACAGTGTAGATTAAAGCGACTGGGTGTATGGGTTATGGACGCCTGGGTTTTAATTCTGGCAACTACACTTAATGTATTATCTGAGGCAATGTACTTACTGTGCCGTTTCCTTAGCAGTAAGCTAGGGATAATAACTTACTGGGTTGTTATAAATGAATTAATACCTGTAGAGTACTTTGATTTTTTGTGCTATAAAGGTTAGCTACCTTAATATTAGTGAAATTCAGTTGCTGAAACAATAGTAGACCCTGCAGCAATTCACACTCATTTTTTTCAATTCTCTTAGCTCTTTGTTTAGAAGCTGTTTTGAAACACACATTCAATTTCAAGGGCTTGCAGCAGCCAGTCTGAATTTTAAAGTCATAACAAGACTCCAAATTCCTAAACATCCAAAACAATCACTGTGGGAAGGGAGACACCAAGTTAAGCACTGACAGTCCTAGCTTACTCACACGTATGTGTTAGCACGTCTGATAACCTGTGACAAAGACACTAGACCCAAATCCCTCCTACTCAGTTACTCGATTCTCCTCTGGTCTCTATGAATGTGCCTTCGAAGACAAAAATTAAACCAAGCTTTTGAATGGGAGTGCGGCAAAACCCTGGTAATCTAACTCACGGCAGCAACAAAGATTTCTGTAAAGTGCCACTATTCCATCTCCCGAATATCCAAAAGTACTCCGGGATCCGATTCCTCTAGTGTGGGTAAAAGGAAGAACAGGACCTTCTCTCCATCTGCCCTCCACCTCCATCCCCACCCCCAACCTCTGGGAGTAAAGCGCCAGAGCAAAGCACCCACCCTTTCCTCCTCTCGTCGGGCTCTGGTGGTCCGACAGGTACCTAAGCCCAAGCCTCCGGATGACCGGCCAAAGGAGGCACCCGGGAGGAAACAATAGGGCCGTGGCGGCCGCCGTACCTTTCACGGTCGCGGCCGTCGAAGTAAACGAAATCGCCGTTCTGAACACATTTGGCGCAGGTCAACCGCCGGCGGGTGGTGTTACATAGCGGACACCGCTCGACCGCCACGTACAGCCCCTCTGCGTCGTCCACGGAGTCCTCTAGGTCCCGGGCAAGCTGCCGGTATCCGTAGCTTGGAGCCTCCGGCGCCCGGGCTCCCTTCCCACTGGGAGACGCCATGATGGCCTAAGAGCAGAGCTAGTCACGTGGGACTTTGTTTTCAACCAGGTGCATCCTGGTCGAGGAGGAGGGGTTTGGGGAGGTGCCAGGAGTGAGGGCGGGGGTCCTGACGGAGCGGGCACTCCTTCCCCTCCCCTCGCCCAATATCCAGACCACCCAGGAGGCTGCAGCGGGAAGGGCTGCGGCGGATTCTGACGCTGTTGCTTTAAATGGTTTGGGGGCGCGAGTCACCCAAACAAAATGTCATCATCTCTCCTGGATCACTCCAAGACTGCTATTAGTTAACGCCCCAAAGTTGTTCCAAAAATATTCCTAAGGATTCTGGGAAAACGAACTGGGAACAGAACAAGGGAATTTCTTTAATTCTCTGATGTTAAAGTGCCATGGAGTCGCCTGCTCTAGGGTTTGAGATGCGGCTGATGGGTTTGAACTCTCAACCTTGGTATTAGCAGTCCAGGACTTAAGAGTACAACACCACACCAGGACCCGTTTATGTTAAGTGCAGTTGAGTTTCCGGCTCACAGTGATCCTGCATGGGGTTTAGAGAGCCGCTCGTGGGTTTTGAACTGCGTACCTTGCCATTCAGTGCTTATCCTGCATCACTACTCAGGGTTTCTTTTTTGTTAAGCGCCGTTGAGTCGGTTCCGACTCATAGCGACCCCGATGTTTAAACCGGCCTTGCAGTTCAGGGCATTAACCCACAGTACCACACCAGGACTTACTTGCTGTTGAGTGCCGTGGAGTCGGTCCCGACCCACAGGGACCCTGTAAAGCGTTTCCAAGGAGCAGCTGGTGAGCTGGAACCGCCGACCTTGCCGTTCAAACGGACTTTTCAGTCCAGTGCATTAACCCACAGCACCACAATGCTTTCAAATTTGACTAAAACTACATCAAACAAAGTTGGATAAATTTTGGGTTATCTACCTACTAGCTGTAAAGGACTCTGGTAGCGTAGTGGTTATGAATCGGGCTGCGAACCTTAAGGTCAACAGTTCGAAACTACCAGCTGTTCCGTGGAAGAAAGATGAGGCTTTCTGCTCCCGTACTGGCTTGGAAACCCTGTACAGGGTCGCTGTGAGTCGGAACCGACTCCACAGCACATAACCACCATCACCACCTACTAGCTGTGTGACCTGGGGGCACATTCCTGAACTTTCCTGTGCCTGTTTTTTGTTAAAAGGGAGATAGAGTACTTACCTAAAGTCATGAGGATCAGTATGTTTGAGTAATCAGGTGGTGGTTGTTGTTAAGTGCCGTCGAGTCGGTTCCGACCCATAGCGACCCTGAACAGGGTTTCCGATTAGCGACCCTGAACAGGGTTTCCGAGGCTGTGAATCTTTACGGGAGCAGAAAGCCTCTTCTTTCTCCCGCGGAGCAGCTGGTAGTTTCGAACTGCAGTTAGCAGCCCTATTCATAACCACTATGCTACCAGAGCTCCTTAATCAGGTGTAGTATTCATCATAGCTAACCAATGGAAAATAACTATTTTGAATTGCAAATCAAAGTTGTGCATTTAATGACCTCAAGGTCAGCAGCTCAAAACTACCAGCTGTTGAATGGGAGAAAGATGAGGCTTTCTGGTCCCATTAAGATTTACAGCCTTGGAAACGGTATCCAGGGTCCCTAGGAACCTTCTCCACAGCAAATCACCACCACCACCATCTGCCCCCTACTCTGGGCTACACTCTGAAAAAGCATTTGAACTAGATGGTTTCTTTCTGTGGTGGTACGTAAGGTGGGTGGGAGATTCTATCAGTAATTGTTAAATGCCAGAGAGTCAGTTCTGATTCATAATGACTCTCTACAGCGTTTCCAAGGAACAACTGGGGGGTTTGAACCACTAACCTTGTGGTTAGTAGTCCAGAGCTTATCCTACATCACCACATCAGTGTTTGAATGTGCCACTTAACTACAGAAAAGAAACGTGTATAGGTCCTAAGGAAATTCACAAATTATCTAAACCAGATGCAGTACATCTGATTCCAGTGGCTTCCTTGAGTGTCAAAGTAGAACCTGTACTCCATATGTTTTTTTCTGAGGCATCTCGGGGTGGCTTCCAACCATCAAATATTTAGTTGGCAGCCAAAAACTGAACTATTTGCATCACCCAGCGACTCCATAAACTAAACCAGCAAGTTTCAAGTTTCAGTACAATGTCTCCCCTGAATTTTCTGTAGCTAGGACTTCTCTGCAAGTTCCAAGACCCAAAGTTCATAACTGCCTATTATTGGCATGGCCTAAACTGAACTTTGCCTCTCCCTCAAACCTGCTACCTTGTTGAAGGGACGTGATCACTGACCACATAGTACCAAGAGCCATCAGTCCTATTAACTGTCTCCCTCCCTGTTAATTGCCACACCTCATTCACCATCACATGCTGATGAGGCTACAATGCAAATAGGTTTTAAACATGAAACACTGAGCTCCAGTCTCTTAGTCTTACCAAGTCTGTTTTTAATACAATTACAGGATTCTGAAATTTTAATACACATTTAATTATATAATTTGAATATAATTAGAGGATTACAAATGTAGGCAAAAAGCAACATACTCTATATGGTTTCCAAAATAAAATTCACATTAAACTTAAATATACTTATTGAAATTTTAAGGTGTTTTATTTTTTTCTTTCAAGTAAGCAAAATCATTTTCCCAGATTTTTGCAAACAAAAAGATAAGTGCTGTTCTTAATCAGAATTTCACTTACATTCTGACAAGATCCCTTACAGTGCCTGGTACCTAGCGGTTGGAGTCATCTCAGTATTAAAGTAGAAAGAAATTAATTCCTGCTTTGCTAGGTAATATTGCAGATACTAGTTTATACAGTTACTTGAAATTTTTATATTTTGCTATATATTTTCTAAGGACATGTTAATATACTACTCTACATATATTTATTAATACACATATTTAGCAGGAGTAAAATATTGAACTTTAATGATACTGCAACATCATCCTAGCAAGGCCTTAAATGTTTCAAATTCTGAAACAAGGTTAATTGGTCAGTTTTAAAAATAATATGCAGAAGTCATTTTGAATACGGATTTTGTTTTGTTTTGTTTTTTCCCATGTCTGACATGGCTACTCATATCAAATCATCCATTAATCAGTATAGTCAAACTGTACATAGACTATCCATAATTCAAAGTAGGGGAATTCAGCAAATTCTTTGCTGAGCTTAGGTACAGAATCAAATCAGTATACCATGAGATAGTAAATGATGAATTCAGGCTTTTTTAAAACCCTTTAGAATTGGATAGATGTTTTCAAATGCTTCATAGATCTCAGAACGTTCTTTGGCACCTATAGAAGAATCCAAAGTTATATATTTATTTCATTATAAAATCAATATTAAGGTGTTCTTAACACTAAAATTTCACGGTGTCATCTCCGATTACTTCCAACATGACATCCCTTTAGATGTTCCCAAGATATAGCTGTGGTGTTTTTTTCCCAAAGAAAGGCAAAAGAATGTGGTGACTATAGACAGATACCATAAAACATGCTCTGTAAAGTAGAAGCTTGTATTTAGCCGATAGCCACACACTACGTGGTATGAAATATGAATTGTTATTTGTAAGCATATACAAGACTGTGATCCTAGAGTAACTTCATCGACACCTATGAGTACTTAAACTAAATCCCTGCAGTCAATTCTATACTACACAGTAGCACTGAGACATAAGGTTTTCTTGACTGTCATCTTTATAGATCATATCACCAAGTTTTTCTTATGCTGCACCTCAGGGTGGGTACTGAACTATCAACACCGGAGATATTTTGGATCCCTTCATCCCTAAGTTAACACCTTGATTACCTAATACTGATTAGAAGGCTGGAGCCATTCTAGAGTTTTAAATATCAGTTTATGGTCAAGAATTAATAGAGGTAAAATTATATCCTTTTCACCCGTCGCTAAGTTTTAAAGACTTTTTTAACTTTAACGCAATTTCTCTAGGAGTTAGACTAAAATCAGGAATTAAACTGTCCCCAACCTTGACAAATGTTATCACTCAGTCCTTAATCCTCTCTCACCCTTCAGTACCACTATCCTCCAGCCTCGAAGTCATGGAGGTTATGGGCTGGCATTGCTGATGTTTATAAGCAGTTGTCAGCTAGTTGAGAAAATATTATCTGGTGTTATGGGCAGAGGCAAGGAGGATAAGTGGAGGGGGAAAGTTTCTCAAGGAAATTAACAAAGAGAATTAAGAACTGTTAGCATGGAAAAGGAGCTCTGGTAGCCTAGTGGTTACAAATCGGGCTGTGAACCTTAAGGTCAGCGGTTCGAAACTACCAGCTGTTCTGCGGGAGAAAGATGAGGCTTTCTACTCCCGTAAAGATTTACACCCTCGGAAACCCTGTATAGGGTCGCTATGGGTCAGAACCGACTCGATGGCACTTAACAACAACAAGCATGGAAAATAAGTTGATAAACATTTCCTGAAGAGCTGGAAAGTTGGCCAGGAGGAACGCTACAGTAGAGGGCAGAATAACCTCCACATCTCATCCATCACCAAATGCTGGCGAGTGTTTATCTGAGTTCATTGCAGGAGGATATGTTATTACTGGGTTCTGCAGACTTGATTCTGATTGATAGTAACCGCAGGGACAAAGTAGAACTGTCCCATAGGGCTTTCTTGCTGAAATCTTTAAGTAAGCAGGTCAACAGTGCTCTCTCCCTCCTTCACTTTTAAGGAGCATTGTAGCTGTACTTATAATACAGATTTGGTTCATTCTTCCAGCAGTTCAGGTATATTCAATATTCTCTGCCAAGACCATAATTCAAATGCACCAATTCTTCTTTGACCTTCCTTATTCATTGTCCAACTTTTGCATGCATGAGGTGAATGAAAATACCATGACCTGGGTCAGAGACTGAAGATGTCTCTCAGAGTGGCATCTTTACGTTTTCCCATTCTAATGAGGTCTTTTGCAGCAACTTTACCTAAAATCATTTGATTTCTTGAATACTACTTTCATGGGCATTGATTGTGGAGGGAGCAAACATTGAAGATGATTATTTTATATCAAGAAAAAGTTTATATACAAAATGACTTCAGGGAAACTGTACAGTGCCATCTTCTGACACCCTAGGTGGGGAAACTGAGGCTCAAGCAGACTTGAACTTACCCAAAGACATTTGTGTAGCAGTTCTGGGAGATCTCACATCCAGTGTTCCTTTACACAAAAAGTTGACGAGTAAACATTGCCAGTATTTGTGGCCAAGTGTTACAATGAGTGGCATTTGTCCATTCAGTCAAACATTCCTGACTGAAATATTGCCATCAATATGTTGTCGTCAAGCACCAGGGAGTCGGTTCTGACTCACAGTGACCCTATATAGGGTTTCTGAGGAGCGACTGGTGGGTTTAAGTCTGGTGCTTATCCTACAGAGCCATACCCGGAGTCCTATCAGAACTGCAAGGGAACTGAAATAGGTTCCACAAGCCTGCCACCGTCAATTCCAAGACAGAGATGCTACGCAACAGAACACAGCTGCCCCACAATGCTGCCAATCTTCAGTGTTTACAGAAGCAGACTGCCACCGTCTTTTCCCCATAGATCTGTGACTTTGAACCACTGGTGGGCAGCTCAGCACTTAACCATTGTGCCATAGCATCATTTGAAAATCAAAATCCAGTTAGTAGCATCAGACTCTGATAGTAGACTTTTTTTTTTTTTTTAAACATCAGTTTTGTTTCATCTCAATGATTACAGTCTCTTCCCTGTAACAAAAATTCTCCTGTTTCCTCCCGGTGGCTTCCCTTTGACATCTTAAACAAATCAACAGATCAAAAATATTTGATGTACACATATAAAATAAAAAATATATATTCATTTAAATGTCCAAAGGGCACATTTTTAAGCCAGCCTCCTGCCCACAAGCAAACAGTCTTTCTCATTCCATGGGCCTAGAGTCCACAGCTGCTTTCTCTGTCCATGCCATTGCCTCTGCCATGATTAGGTGACCCTTACCTCTGAGGTTGCAATGACAATCACATTAAGGGATAAAGATCTTTCCTAACCTTGGTCACTTATGTGGAAATTCTTGTGACCTGGCACATCAGAAAGAGCTCTGGCTTTGGGATGAAATGCCAGCTTCTCCACTAACAAGTTTTGAAATCATAGGCAAATTGTTTCCACCTAAGCTTCAGTGACAATCCTGCTGTGGTCCTGTAGGGTAAAACTCAGGACTGCTTACCACAAGGTTGGTGGTTCAAACCCATCAGCTGCTCCTCGGAAACTCTATCCAGGGTCCTTGTGAGTTGGAACCAACTCAACGGCACTTAACAAGTTTCAGTTGCCTTCCTTGTAAGATAATGAAAATAATTTTCTCCAGGTTGTCAGAGTTAAGTGAGCTAAAGATATACAATGTAGGAAACCCTATACAGGGTCACTCTAAGTCCAAACCAACTTGACTCAACCGCACTAAAAAACAAGCTGTCTTTATTGTCCCAGAAAAATGTATTGGTGGTGGTGTGGTGGCTGTCCCAAGTACATATGACAACATCTGGTTCAGTAACAGCCAACGCACAAGGAGATCCCAATTTACAACGGTTCTATTAACGATGTTTCGTTAAGTGCCATCGATGTTAAACAAAAAACGGTTATAAGTGTAATTTGTTTTAAGTAGAGTATGCCATAAATTGGGAGCAACCTGTAATTTGTTTATGTCTGTTTCCTTTACAAGACTAGATTTCTGCCACATGGTGTTACATTCACCTTTATATCCTTTATAGCCTCAGCAGCTAACACTGCTAGGCAAACATAGTTTATTAAATACCTGATGCCTGAAAATAAGGTTTGCAAGCTCACCCCAAATCCCTTTACCAGCCCAAACAACACTTTCCAATTCGACTTGGATTTTCTAGTTCTATACTTACACATAGAGTCCAGTGCTTTAGAATGAGCACTGGACCACAAGGTTTCCTTGAACCACAAGGTCAATGGTTCGAACCCACCAGTTGCTCCTTGGAAACCCTATACAGAGTTTCTATGAGTCAGAACCGACTTAACAGCACTTCACAATATACTTGTACAGTAATACATCTATATCTTACTTTTCCAAGTAATGCCTCATTAGTCTGTAAGCAAGTTAAAAATCTTAGAATTCGATTAATATACTTCATTCTCCCTTTCACAAAAGAATGGTCTACATCTTGCAAGAAAGAAGTAATTTTACATGACCTCATTTGTATTTTCAGCATGCAAACTTAAAAACAAATTGCAAAAAAAAACAACCCTACAGCATTTAATCTCCTAATGTACACATTTTACTATATATCCTATACCTTGCTATTAATGGGTGATTGCTGGTAAACACTGATAGGGATATTCTGGTATCTCTCTGACCCACTCACTAATCAGTTTTACCATGTGTCTGCTCCCAAGCACAGCTCTCTCCTAGAATGTGCCCTCTGAGCCACTCGTTTCTCAGAACCACTGATGTGGCTAATTGAGAGGAACTCTGGGTAATTCTTACCATCTTCTTAGTCCTTTTTTGCTGGAGAGAAGTAAGTTCACATGAAGCATTTTACTAAAGCCTTTGTAGGTTTCAGACTGCAATCATCAGAACAAGGGATCACAGCAAAGTATCAAATTTTTTTATCAAAAACAGAGGGTCTTTCAGAGAGATCATAGTACCCACCACGCATCGTGATTACCCTATGCCAGGCATTGGTTTCTGCTTCCTCATAACATTTAAGAGGAGGCCGTTTCATTTCCCACCTCCATTTATATATAAGGAAACGAAGGTGGAGCATTTAAATAAATCACACAAGGACAGAGTTTACTAAATAATGCCTGGATTCATTCTGGACAACTGCTCCAGACTCCATCCTGTTAACCACCTTACCATGCTGCCTCTCGCCACTCACAGGGCATTTATGATTCCTCCTGCTGTGCAAGGTTCTCAAAGACACCTGAAGAACTGAGGGTCAGCCCAGGAGTGCTGAAATCAAGAGGCTCAGGAGCCAGGCTGCCTGAATTCCCATCCTCACTGTGGCACACACAGCTGGTTGACATTGTGGTGAATGGTTGTGTGCCATTGAGTTGATTCTGACTCATAATGACCCTGTATAGGGTTTCTGAGGCTGTAAATCTTTACGGAAGCAGAAAGCCTCATCTTTCTCCTGCAGAGCCAGATTATTAGCAGCCCAGCTCATAATCCACTATGCTACTAGGGATTGATTTTAAAAAAGCTACATGGAGTCTATTCCAATTTATGGTGACCCTGCATGTCTCAGAGTAGAACTGTGTCCTACACGTGATATTCAATGGCTGTGAACTTGAAGATCTCCTGG